TTTCTTAATAACTAGGTCTAAGAATCTGACAAAATATTATTAGGTAACAGGGGCTTGATCAGTGGATTAATACAGAAAAAAATAAAATGATAAACCATCACACTCATTATATTTCCCAAAAGGCAATGGCAAATTTAGAGGACTGCTGAACAGATATTTCCCAATTACCTCAGATCTTCTTTATCTAAGAAACATACAAGGTCTAAATCTGCTGGGCATCCTGGAGACTGGACTGCAGGACAGCTAAACTCTCAAAATCCTGAGGTTACTGCCATAACTGGTATGGAAGAAAAACTCATGTCTCAGGCAATTTTTTTTTTACCAGACAGCCTATCAGGAAAAAAAAAATAATTAAATTCAAAGTATATTTGCTTAGAGAAATCCAAAGGGACAGAGATTCATACTACTTTTCAAAATCTCCTGGATACAAGCCATCTTCATCTTACAGTTTATAGAGTTCAAGAACAAAGACAAACTTTGGTAGTCAAGATTTAAGGAGGATACTGAGTTTAGGGAACAGAGTTTGAATCATCAGAGAGATCAGTACTATGATAACAACTTTGGACACTTCCTAGAGATTCACTTTCCTAAATCCATTCGGTCTGATCTACAGGAATATTCTTAATTGGATTCAGCAAAGGGCCTTTTGTTCTCACTAAAGATATTACTCTAATTAGTTTTTGGGAGGATTCCCTCCTGGGATGATTATGCCTGTTCCTTTAGGAACTGATTAGACCTTAAAATAATAAGGAAGGAAAGTTTTTTTGTTTCCTCAGAATAAATTAAGTGCAGAGAAGGTTTTCTACTCAGGTGAGACCAAGAACTTCAGACACTGAAAATATAACATTTTTGGATATTTCTTTTTTAATTAATTAATTTTGAGTTTTCAACATTGACTTCCATAAGCTTTTGAATTTTAAATTTTCTCCCCCCTCTCTCCATCTTCCTCCTCAAGATAAAGCTCTACATATGTATTCCTATTAAACATTTTTTTCATATTAGTCGTATTTTAAAGAAGAATTAGAACCAATAGGAGCAAACACAAGCAGAAGAAATAAAACAAAACAAGAAAAAAAAGGGCAAATAGAATGCTTCAATTGGTATTCAGACTCCATAATTCTTTCTCTGGATGTGGATAGCATTTTCCATCATGAGACTTTTTAATCAGACTACCTGAAAGCTATGATCCAAAAAAGAATCTTGATACAATAATACAAGAAATAATTAAAGAAAATTGTCCTGAAGTATTAAAACAAAAGGTAAAAGTAGAAATAGAAAAAAAAATCTATCAAACACAATCTGAAAGAGATCTCAAGAGGAAAACCTACAGGAATATCATTGCTAGATTCTGAAACCCCCAGCTCAAGCAGAAAATATTATGAACAACAAGAAAAAACAATTTAAATATGTCAGGGCCACAATTAAAATCACAGAAGATTTAGCAGTAGAGACACTAAAGGACCACAGGTCTTAGAACACTATATATATATATATATATATTGAAGAGCAAAAGAACAGGTTGAGGCCTAAAATATCATACCCTGCAAAGTTAAGCATAATTCTGAATGGAAAAAAAAAATGGACATTCAATGAATTGCCAGACTTTCAGGATTTTGTTGCAAAAAGACCTGAGATCAATAGAAAATTTGACATACAAGATCCAAGAGAAATATAAAGGAGAAAACTAAAGTTCAGAGAAAAATAAATAGCATTGGATATCGAGAGTGAGAGAGAGAGAGAGAGAAAGAGAGAGCGAGAGAGAGAGAGAGAGAGAGAGAGAGAGAGAGAGAGAGAGAGAGGAGAGTGTGAGTTTTGATCTGTGAGGAGTGTATGAGAATGCTAAGAGCTTTAGTTACTATTTGTAAAGAGATTTAGTTTTAATTGTCATCTATGAAGAGACTTTTCCTGTCAGGTTGAAAAGACCATAAGACAAGGTTTTGTCTAACCTTTATATCATGAATAATTAAGAAGAAGATTTTTAAGAAGAGACTGTAATTGGTATCTTGTGGAAACTGAGTGGTGGGACTGTGTACAAAAGTGAAGAGAAGAATTGAAGTGATGGTGAGAGGTAACTCTGGCTGTGATCTATGATAAAATATTGTAAATAACTATTTATGTCTTTGATATTATCTGTTACTCTGTTAATGAACCAATAACATTGATGTTTTTTTAAGTATGAGATTTAGGCACATAGAGGTTATTAACTGTTTATGGGGAAATTTTTTTCTCCAGTTTATTAAATAAATGATATTTAATAAAGTGATATAGTGATTCAGAGTTAACATTGATTAATAAGAAAGTAGTTGCAAATTTATTAATCAATAAAGAAATAATAAAACACATCCCTGGAGTATCTTAGAATTTGGGATTATGAAAATGAATGTGGTAACAAGTCAAGCCAGGATGAGGGGTAATTACCTTTTATGGGACACATGTAAAGGGAGTTAATGTAGTATGTAAAACTATGTGAAGTCAGACTGAGAAGAATAAATTATTACTGACTGGGGGAGATCAGGAATGGTCAGGAATCAAGAATATGTGGCATTTCAATTGTGCTTTAAATAATTGGTGGTAAACAATCAAATCAAGAGAGGGATAAAGGATATTCTCAGCAGAAGGATTACTGTGAATGAAAGCATGGAGGCCAAAATCATCAACAAGATTTTTTTTGTTAATTTTTGTTAATTAGCTAATTTATTTTTAACATTCATTTTAAAAAATTTTAGAGTTCTAAATTTTCTCCCATCCATTGAGAAAGTAAGCAATATACCAATTATACAAGCGAAATCGAAAGCATTATTTCCATATTAGCCATTCAATAAGAATATATTAAGCACCTACTATGTACTCTTAGGGATACAAAACACTATGCACCTTAAGGATACCAAAAAAAAAAAAAAAGCAAATGACAGGAAGGTCTTCTGAAGAGGCAGGATCTTTAGTTTGTACTTCAAGAAACTAGGAGGCATAGATTAGAAAGGAGAGAATCCCAGGTATGAGGGATGGATTTGAGAGATGGGGTATCTTGTTTAAGAAACAGCAAGGAAGTAGATCATAAAGAATCCTGGGAATGCAGACTGTAGTCCAGTTTGGAAGGCATGAAGTATTGTGAGGAAGAGAAAGAGATGATCTTAGACTAGAAAATTAGAGTAGACTCCAGAATTTCTAAAGTTACAACTCATATTAGGTTTCATAAATTGTATTCCATTTGTTACAATAAGCTCCAGCCAAAATACAATTTGAAAAATACCACATTGCTGCATATTGCTCTTCAGTATCTGGAAGGAAAAAAAAGAGGAAAAGCTTAGCGCCTCAGTCATATTTTTTTTTGCATCTTCCCTTTTACATGGTGATATGATTAAGAATTTAATGCTGTGCTTTTAATATCTAGAAAGTCTACTTTTATAATTCCCCAAAGTAAAGCATTTTCCTTTAACTTGTCAGTCCTTGATACATTATTATGCAAATGGATTATATTCTGCTTCCCCAGAAGCTGTATTTATAAAATATTGAACTCATAATTTTTGCCAAGAAATTTCTCTATTCCTTCCTATCTGATTTAAGGGTTTTGTTTTCCCCCCCTCATGGCTCCCACAGTAGCAGTCAAATAGTGATGGTAATGCTTTTGATCAATTCTGCAGTAGCAGATCAATAAAACTCTCAAGCTTCTTTGATTTGTTTAAATTAGCATTTTCCTACATTTCATTTAAGTAATGTGAGGCTGAAAATACTTTATTCAGAATCTCAGTGCATTATCCCAAATATGTTAAATAACCACACTTACTTTCTAGCTGATATTTGTTGTATTTATCCAAAAACCTAAGGTGGCTAATATTTGAATATTTCAAGGAGCTACTACTATAAGTAAATCGAGTTAACAGAATAAATGAGAAGATGGAAATGCTTTCAGTTTTAAATACTAATAGCATAAGATTTGTCTGTATACCAGGAGATTCTTTCTAGAATAATCAGTAAATGTAAAATCTTTCAAGTAGAGAAACTGGGAATCAAGACTTTAGCAAGGTTTAAATCTGCCCATTTTGGTGACAGTGACTCACAGTATAGATTAGTGATTAGCTTTGTCCTTAAGCAAAAGCTAAAACCTACTCACTCAACTTCACTTTCCCTCTTTAAAGTAGAAATTGGCACACTCTCTGGCTTCTAGATAGATTATCACTTTTATTCAGGGTGCTAATATAGCAAATAACCATAAAAGTGACCAATTATCCTCATTTCCTCAGGATCATGTTACACTGGGTGTATCTGCCTTTCTAGTATTGTAAAGAATAAATCTTTCTCAGAATTTTGCTATTCTTAATAGAATAGTCTACATTCTCCCCATCCTATGTGATTAGGAGAATTCCTAATCCGTAAAATAGTAGGAAATGTAATATGATATTGGTGCCAGGGATCCTAAGCCAACAGCAAGCAAAATGGTTTGTCATTTTTCCTCATTAATTTAATGTATATTTTATCACAGATTTTTAAATGCTGATTGACTCATTTAAATCAGGTTCTGAAATAAGATCAATGAAAGTTCTATAGCATACTTTGCAAAGGCTCTGATCTTTTTCATTGTAATTTGATTTTCTAATTAATACCTAAAAAGAAAAAAAATTTGAAACCCAGTATCAAATAGCATAAGCCTTGATATTTTTGCACTTTTAAATACATAGTTGGCTAAGAAATAACCCCAGGCTTGCAAAAGGGCTGGAATCCTTAATATTAATCTCTTTGTTTTAGGATAGTGATTAGATTCTTAGCTAAACAATCATTCATCTTTCATTGTAATAGAAAACTTCAGAAAGTTCCAGATAGAAAGACATTGGTATATTTAAAGCTAAAAGGCACACATCTGTCAACAAAATCAATTCAGTTATTCCTTTACCACAAAGGAAACAATGGGTAATTAATGAGTGAGAATTCACCCTCCTGAGTTTCCTTTCTTGATCTGGCTTATAATAATAATAATACACTGTAAAATTGTTTTCCTCTCACAGTTTTTCCTGAATGAGGCAGAAATAACACTCCCCTCAGATTTCAACACATCAAATTCAAGTTTCCCTGACTCAACTGACCAAAATTCTCAGAATACACAGAAGTATTTTTTCCTGCCGGTAAGTATATTTTACTTCTTTTTATATTGTATCATGCTAAATTCAACACCCATTAGGTTGTATCCATGTACTGCTAAGTGGTATTGAAGCTACAGGAAAAATGCTATTTTGGCTTAAGAGGAAATGAATATATCACAAAAGATAATGTATAGGTATCAGACATTCTAGTTTATTGTCTCTGAATTGTCTTTAAACTCAGACAGGCAATGGCTAATACCTTTTTAAAATGGCAGCTTCATCAAGGAAGGATCTTTCAAGTGAAATCTGTTAAAAGTCACATTTACAAATATGTATTGTAAAAGGACCAGCTTAATGCTATTTCATGAAAGCTATTAACTTTGAGTTTAAAGTCAGAAGTCTTGGGTTTTAGTTGTGGCCAAACAAATGGGGAAGTCACAATATCTCAGATATCTTTAACATGGGAATAAGAACCTTACCTAGACTACAGAATGACTGTGAGAGAGAAAAAAATGAACACTTCATTAACTTTAAATGTGAACTCCTATTTCATCTTCCTCTTCCCCAAATAGTTGTCTCTTCCAATTGTTTCTGCTTCTGTATGATTTAACATTCATCTGTAAAACACTTCTTGGTATTGTTCTTGAGAGGTAGGTTGGTACAGTGGGGGAATGCTGGATTTGAAGTCAGAAGAGGGTTGATTTCATTTGTTAACTCTAACTTTAGCTATGTGTCTGTGGGCAAGTCACTGGCCTCCCTGAGCTTTCATCTCCTGTTTTGTAAAATGGGCATAATAAAACCCTCAGTACCTTCCTCATAGTTTTATAGATTCAGAGCCAAAAAGGATTATTCAGTCCAACTCCTCCATTTCACAGATGAAGAAACTGAAGCTGCAAAAATTAAGTGATTTATCTAAGGTCACACAGCTAATAAGTAGAAGAGCTATGATTTGAATTCAAATCCCCAGGCACTAACGCAGCATTCTTTTCCATGTATGTGAAACATCTTGCAACCCTTAAAGCAGAATAAAAACATCACCTATCATTATCCATTTATTGGTTTATTTGCCAATTGTTCTATGTAGCAGTCTTATTTGCCAACTTAGCATGTAATCTCCTTATGGGGCAGGGACCATATCTTATAGCTTTTCTGTATTCATCCCAGCTCCCAGCTCCAGATACTTTCTTATACATATACCCTCAATAATTTTTTTTCCAGTTGATTCATTTTAACCAGCAACTTGAACACTTTGTGTTTCAATTTTAACACTTGTTATCATAGCCTCTTAAGTAAAGAGGTTCTTCAAATTGATGTAAGCGTTTTCTACACAAATATATTTCCTTCTAGGAATCTTCCAGAGAGGATTAATCTAATGTGCTAAAGCCCTTCCTCTAGACCTTTTATTTATTTATTTATTTTGGTGCAGGGTGGGAGGTGCAGGGGAGATATTTCATGAGTATCAATTCGATATTTGAGCTATCCATTTGTTATGGCCCAGTATCACTATTGAACCAGCCCAACTTCCTTTTCCAGTTGTATGTGGCTTTGATGTAGAGCACTTACATTTATTTAGTCTTTCCGTTGACCTTTGATTCACTTGTAGCTTTGATTCTTCAGAAATCAGGGTCTTTCATGATTCCTAGCTGTGGTACTGAAAAGCACGAGCATAAATCGTTTGCTAGCTAAACACTCTTTTGCCCTGGTAATGGTTTATACCAGAAAAGAGATATTAATCACTTCATTTTAAGTACTGACCATTCATACAGAAAAATCTGATTTGATCCTCACCTTGCCATCCGCGGCCTACCTCCTCTCTCCAACCATGTATCTTTTTAAAACATTCATATCATGTTTTTTTGTGATATTCTCTCTTGGCTCTCCTACTTGTCTGCTGATTTCTTTTCAGTCTCCTTTGCTGGGTCATTATAAATGTCCCATCCTTTAACTCTGGTTGTGCCTTGAGGGTCTGTCCTGATCACTGCTCTCTTCCTCTATGTTCTTTCACCTCTCTACTTTCGTACTAGATGTCTTTCCTGCCTGAACCAAACTTCTTCCTCATCCCTACCTCTTGCAATACCGAGCTTCCTTCAAGGCGTAAGTCAGGGCTTCTCTTTCATAGTAATCTTTTTTGGATCCCCCTGGTTGGTACTTCCCCATCTTCAAATTATAGTGCATTTCCTTATCTGTATAATTATTATATCCCTCTACAGATTTCACATTTACAGAATGTAAACTCTTGGAAGGCAGACTATGTTTATCTTTGCTTCCCCAAGGCCTAGCATGGTGACATTCACATAGAAAGCATTTAATGAACACTGTTGAATTGAATACACAGAAATCCATTGTAGGAAGCTACTGTAGTATAGTAGAAAGAACCCACAACTTGGGGTTAGGAACCAGGGTTCAAGTCCTGGCTTCAGCATTTACTATCTACAGGATCATAAGCCACTTAGCATCTGAGCTCAGGTGGCTCATCTGTGAAAATTAGGTAAGGTCATACTTACACTATGTACCTCCCAGAGTAGTTGAAAAAAGGAAACAAGCATTTATTAAGCACCTACTATGTCCTAAGCCACTTACAAATGTTCTGTCATTTGATCCTCACAACCAGCCTGGGAGGTAGGTGCTATTATTGTTCTCAGGGTAAATAAAGGTTAAGAAATTTGCATAAGGTCACACAGCTAGTAAGTGTCTGAGGCCAGATTTGAACTTAGGTCTTCCTGACTCCAGGCCCAGCATTCTACATGTTGCACTATTTAGTTGCATCTAGTCGAGACTGAAATGCTATGCAAAGCTTAAGATGTGAAAATATGTGAGTTGTCATTGTTTGATCTATAACTGGAATCATATATTGTGATTTAATGCATAAATTCTACTTCTTATGTTTACTCCCTGTGTGATCTTGGGCAATTAACTGAACCTCCCTAGTCCTCATTTTTCTCTGTAAAGTGTTGAGGCTGGACTAGATAGCCTACATAATCAACTTTGGAGGAAAGCCTGAAGTCAGAATAAGGTCCGACTCTGATAACCTGATGAAATCCTGAGATTAAAAAAAAATAATAACAAAAAAAAATACTGAGCAATGCTGCACTTGAGGGACACTTTGACCCTTTAGAGAAATGGTTACCTGACCTGTACTGTCTAATTTCTGTCATTTAAAAAAAATTCTACCTTTTAAGAACATTAGCAGCACACCTATATAGCCATAGCAAAGAAAAAACTTGCAATTAGTTTCTAACCCTACATTGTAATGAAAATATTCCTATATTGGAATCAACTTTAAAAAGAAAAGGCAGCTTGACTGGCAATGAACATTTCAAGATTGGTCCAGCTAATACTTTTAGATGAAATTTGGCAGAACAAGATTGCTATTACTTAAAGAAATTCTATACTCTTCTGTGACCTCATTTTAAATAACAGCAAATCATTAGAGGTCCAAGTTGAGGGGAGAAATGGGAATGGGAGGGACAGCACTGGGGAATGTGCAGATCAAAGTTCAAATTTATTCTGTCTCAATAGTGATGCAAAAAAAAATCATTTAATGGATTCGTTATCCAAAATAGAGGCTTGCAAATTGTCCTAATCTGTTGTAGCTACCTTGGACTTTTCATGAAGTAGGCAGAATAAACCAGTGATGCTGAAAGTAATAGATTTTCATTATGGGGAAATTATGGTGTTATTTACTTGTTATATAACAGAATCCCAAAATTTCAGAGCAAAAGGTTGGTCAAGGGCAATGTATTCTAGCCTCTATGAATCGAATATGAGGATTTTCTGTACAACGTGATGGAGAAGTGGTCCAGACTTTGCTTGGAGTCATCCCATGAGATAACAAGCTACTACCTCATTGGGCAGCCCATTCTATTTTTAAATAGCCTTAATTGTTAAGAATCTAGGCAAGTTCCTTAATATCACTGGGCCTTCATTACCTTATATACAAAATGAGGGACTTGGGTTAGAGCTAGACTTATATTTTTATGATAAGAAAATTAGCTTTCAAAAATCATCCAAAATGAACCTCTATATTGGAAAAACTTCTGGCACCTCATAACAGGGGAAAGAGACATTTTTAAAAACAGGAACATTCCTGGAGTCCTCCAATTGACACTTCCCAATAATTGGCCCCCTGTTCTGACTTTTCAAAAGGTCACCCCATTCACAAGCTTTCCTTATAATGTAATACAGAACTGCATGAACATGAGGAAAGAAGGAAAGAAGCATACCATCCTGCCACTCTTTTTCAAGAGCTAAATCTTTTTTGTATACTCGGAAAATTTCATAATTAGACTTTTATTATGCTCTTTTCTCTCTCTCATATCAGGGCAGTTGTAGTGTAGAATGATCACAATTATTTACTTCTAGGGACGTTGCAAAATAGAAAGAAGGAGTAGCTTTGGTTTCAACTATCCCAGTTCCTCCTCTCCATTTTCAATTCAATTTGGTGGGACATATATTTCTTGATAGGCAGTTCCACTTATCTTTAAGAAAATTTTTACTGAGGAAGAGGGTATGATTTGGGAGTATTGAATTTGACTTTTCTCACCTAAACATTGAGACAAATGGTATTAAATGAGTATTCTTCCTAATATGCCGGATACTTCCTTCTTGTGAAATCAACGTAAAGACCCATGGATGAGAAAGAGTTTAATAACTTTGTTACATAGTTATAATAGAGTTCAGAACACATAAGTGATGAAGAGTTCAGGAATTAGAGAAAAGGAAGTCTATTTTCATGCTTAAAGATTGTATTATGTAGTAAGTATTTTAGACATCCATAATTTCATGTTTACTATTTTAGGTTGAAAATTCTCACTAGCAATGATTTTTCCCCCCAGAACTAGTCTTTTTTTCATTTTGTACAGAGCAGTAGGTTGTACATAGACTAGCTAGGCCATGGGTAACAATATGATAGAAGATATTACCCTATCTTACCAAAGGAACCCTTGCACTTGGAGTTTTCAGTTATTAGAATTTACTTACCCCCAAAAATTGTTCTTACTGATAAAAAGTGTTACAAGAGTTGATAATAACCTATGTCCTAACTGAACTAGGCTATATCCATGTCCCACCAGAACCAGAGAGATAGAGTATCATAGAGAAAGGGAAGATAATAGTGGGGACAAACTGTTAGGGAAGATGCATATAATAGAGATTTCCTCTGAAGTCTGATACAATGTCCTCAGTTAAGAAATTGGGGGGAGGGATGTTGTTTTGGAGAGAATAGAAGGTGAGTGAGATAGAGAATCAATTTAAGGAGTAGGAGAAGGGTTGTCTTACTGCAGGGAGGGTCCAGCTAAGACTTGAAACCGAGTCTTCCTGACTCCAAGGGCAGCTCTCCATCCACCACTCTAGATTGCTTCTCTTCAGCACAGTTCTTACTGAAAATAAATTGTCTTGGTATGTAGTTATTGTTATTGCTTTTCTTTTCAAAGAACCCAGGTAATATTTTTGCAATCGATGAAAAAATTAGATTTATTTCTTTTTTTTCAATCAAATAAATGTTCAGTAGTAAAATCAAAACTAATCTAAAGGAATCACTTAGTAATTAAGTATAGTAATTATATTTAAAGTGTTTCAAAAATATGTTTTGTTAAAAAATTATAAGTACTTGGATAAAATTTGTTGAGTTGAGATTTCACTGTACCATTTCAAAGTACTATAAAAAAAAAGTTAACTCTTTACTGTGTCAGTAAATGGAATAGACAGTATGGTATACATAGCATTATAAATAATGAATTGAGAAGCTGGACACCCAAACTCCTCCCACCACTACCAATTTGCTCTTTTATTTTCTAAGGCTCAGGTACCTTCTCCTCCACCAAAATCTTCTCTGATCCCCCCAGTTAAAAGTTTTCTCTCCTTCATCAGTTTTCCATGAACCATACTTGTCGGCTTTTTTGTATGTTGTATTCCCCTAGTTGAATGTAAGCTCCATCGCAGCAGAGACTGTTTCAACTTTGTCTTTGTATCCCCAACACCTAGACCAGTGTCTTGTACATAATAGGAGCTTGGTAAATGTTTATTGAATTGAGTATTGCTTTATAAGGCAGGCTCAATACTACTTGCCATCAAATATTTATAAATACTTTGGTCAGGGGCAACTAGGTGGATAGAGCTCTGGCCTTGGAGGCAGGAGGACTTGAGTTCAGATCTGGCCTCAGACACTTGACACTTACTAGCTGTGTGATCCTGGGCAAGTCACTCAACCCCAATTGTCTCACCAAAAAAGCAAAAAAAAAAAGCTTTTGTCAAAGACTCTATTAAAAAAAAATCTTTTTAATTGCCTTGCAAAAGATTACTTAAGACTAAGAACATCCCCATAAAGAGACACTGTGGGACAGTGCTTAGAGTCCATTCGGACTCAGGAAAGACCTGGGTTCTAGTCCTCTGACACACACAGCCTAGGAGACTCTAGGTAAATTGCTGTACCTCTCAGTGTCCCAGGTAACTCTCTAAGATTAGAAGAAACCAAAAAGTTGCCAATCACTAATAAATAGAAGGATTTTCCCCATATCATTGAAAGCCCTGTCTCCTACCCAAAACAAACAAAATCACCAATAAGTTAACTGATTTTCAAGCTGTATTTGTGGTCAAAATAAGTTTTCTGGATATAATAATGATTCTTATGGTTCCTAACTTGGAGTATTTTCTGTTTGAGTTACATAGGAACCATCCTGAAGCAACTCTTGTAGGAGTCTTTGAAATGTCAACATTTCCATAGTCTTTAGGGCAGGCATCATTCAGTTGCACCACTAGAAGACCCTCCATTCAGTTTAGACCAGATCTGAACTAGTCTCTGGGGATTGAGGGATGAAATGTTATTGAATGAGATACCTGTTATGTGTTCATCTTTGATGTGAGTTTTAGCTACATGAGGTTTGGAAGTTGACAGTATAATGTTGGTGGTGATATTGAGTTTGTTCTTCTGATTTCTCAGATCAGATTCTAAATAAGTTTCTTGGTTTTTCCCCATGTTCCAGTATTTCATTTACAGCTGCATTCTGGGCTTGATATCTTGTTCTGTTTTCCTACGGATAAACTATGAATTGAAAATGATAATCATGCTGATTGCACTTGTGGCTTACAATATCATCCTCTTACAAACTCATGCCTCTATACTTGATGACTACAGCAACTTTCTTATTAAAAGGTAGGTTGTGTTCTGTCTACATGAAATCTTTTTGTTTGTGAACAGTAAAAAAAAAATTGGAGTAGTGAGTAAATGCAAAATGGGAAGATGTTTGTTATTATTCCATTGTTACAATGTAGTAATTATGGGAATTGAGGACATCCTTGGAAATCATTTATGATAGTGTTTGCACAGTAATTACAGCAGTGGAACTGAAAGGAAATTGTTGGAAGGGAGAGTTTACATAGATGTTTGTTACCATATGTCCAAAAACACATCTGTATAATTGTTATGAGTCTTATTAATTCGAGTTATGATTTAGCATTAGGCAGCATCCTTTGAAGAGAAGAGACTTCTTACAGTGTGCTAAGGTTGAAAAAATAGAATATAAGATTTCTTACTATACTAGAGAATTGGGGGGATTGAACTTCATTAATTCTTACTGCTCTTAATATTGTTCCTTAAAGTTGCTTTAGAAAATTATCTATTTTCACTTACAGCTTCATTTACACTCATTTTTTTTTATTATTAAATGTTATTCTTGTTGGAAGAACTATCCTCATTGGGAAGTACATTTGTGTACCATAATTTGTTTAACTAATTCCCCATTTGATGGGCCTCTACTTTGTTCCTAGTTTTTGCTACCATCAAATATGCAGCTATAAATATTTTGGCATATATGGGGTCCTTTTTGTCAATGATCTCCTTGAGTGTGTATGCCTAGTAGTATATGCCTGGCTCAAAGGATATGGATATATCAGCTGCTGTATTTTCTTAATTGCAAATTCCTTTACAGAATGGAGTTACCAGTTTGTGTTCCACCAATGTCAGTCAGTCAATAAATATTTATTAAATGCCTACTATGCAGTAGGCACTGAGCTGGAGACACAAATAAAAATAAAGACAACACACAAAACAAACATGAAAAGTGAGAGGTAAGAAGAGGAAGGGGAGAGACACTTGACACAGGGGCATGTTGGAGAGCTCCAAAGATGTCCAAAAGCAGGGTAGCTGGTGGGAAATGTGGAGAAAAATTGTGCTGAGCCCACTTTTAAAATAAAAGGCCCTGGAACCCATGGCCACGTCCTCCAGTCAAAGGGTCCAATTTGAGGGGCAAAGAATACTGATGAGATTTGAGTACCAGGCAGATCCAATCTTGTCAGATAATGAGATTTCCCAGTGATGAATTTCCTAGGAAAGGAAGGCATGACAGAGTTTCAAATACGTCCAAAAGCAGTGCATCTGGTGGGAAATGACATTAGTATGTCCATCTTTCTACAAGTTTTCTACAACCCCTGCAATACTGACAATTTTTTTTGTCGTCTTTGCTAATTAGCTGAGTGTGAGATGAAAATTAAGTATAATTCATGATTTAGTACTAGGCAACGTGCCTGGGAGAGGAGAGATTTGAATTTCTCTTATTTTTAGTGATTTGGAGTACTCTTTCATTCCATAATTAATTCTACAGGGTTTTATTCTTGCTGTTGTTGTAATCTGCTTCTCTGCTTCTGTTTTTGTTTTTGATTTTTTTTGGAGAGGGTTTAGCTAAAATTATTTGTCTCCTATTGCTGAACAAGAAAATTGCATTAATGTTAGTTTTTAACTTAGTCTTTAGAAAATGGTGAATATGCCCTACCAGTTTCTAATAATAAAAATCATCCTCTGGAATGAAAAGCAGTGTACTATGGTAGGTAGAGTACTAAATTTATATTTACGTTTTAGACATGTTGAAGGCCCTACATCAATAAATTCAAACAATTCAGTCTCTCTTCTAAGAAGGATTAGATTCACTGCCTTCAGTATTTTATATTAGTTATTTCTTTAACAATTAATTATTTAGGTATAATTCAATTCAATAAGCATTAATAAATACCTATTTTGTGCCAAGCCCTGGGGATACCAATAAGAAAAAGAGATAGAGCCGCTGCCCTCAAGAAGCTTACAATAAATGGAGAAAGATAAAGCATTAAAGAAAAAAAAAGCTGAAAAGTATGGGAGTGAGACACCAAGAAGCATGTACTTCTGTGGAGTGGAACCAACTAGAGTTGATGATGGAGGATGGAGTTACCAAGAAGGTTGTGAGTTTTCTATGAAGGAAGGTTTTGGAAGAAGTTTAGTGCTTCACCCTCCAGTCTTCCAATCACAGGGGAAAGACAGCAGATCATGACTTGAGAAAGTATAGAATATCCAAACATGAGTTAGATTTCCTTCATAAATAGGAACAAATTTGGGGAATCTAAACTAAGGAGAATGTATTCTCCCAGATAATTTTCATGATGGCAAAGTAAATATCATCAAAATCATCTGGTACACCATACCTCATTTTACATATGAAGAAACTGAGACCTCAAACAAGTTAAGTGGCTTGCCCAAGATCACAAAGCGAGTAACCAAAAGAACTGGAATTTTATCCCAGGTCCTCTGGTTCCAACTTCAATGCATTTTACACTTCATCTAATTCAACTAAAAGTAAAGCAGATCTTTAAAACTATTTAAAAGGTGAAAATCAGCCATTACATGATTATAATTTTTGCCTTGGTATAATTCTTTGGCTTTACTATTTGATAAATTGTATAGAGATAGGCATTTCTCTATGTTGTGAATAGAGGTGAAATGTTCTTCCACCAAAATATTCTCAGTAGGATTTTTTTTCCTTGTTCACTGTAAGCAAATTTAGTACAAATGTGAGCTGAATTAAATTTTCCTTCTCCTATTCTGTTTTCAGTTCAAGGCATTGAGGAGTTGTATGCAGTCTTTAATGTTAGATTGAGTGGAAGGATAGAAGGAAACACCTTAGGTTATTTTAAGATAATAATAATAATAGTTAATATTTATATAGTGTCTGTTATGTGCCAGGAGCTGAGCTAAGTACTTTGCAATTATTGTCTTATTTCACAAATAAATATCTTGTTCAATTTTCTTTCCAGTATTTCCATATTTCCCAATGTTCTAAAGATGATTAGCTGGAACAAATAATTGAACAATGATTCCTTCATTTATATTTTCAGTCTTTCATTATATTTTCAATTTTGCAGAAGAGTAAGAATATTCTGTCTTCCATTCTACAAAATTCAGTGTTATCCATAATAACATTACATATTATATATATAGGTATAATATATTTATATAAGAGTTTACAATTTATATACAATATATTTATGTAAGATTTTACAATTTAACAAATGCTTTTCTTGTACTAATTTTGTAAGATTAGTAATGAAAATATTTCCCCCACATTTTATAGATGAGGAAATAAGGAACAGAGAAACTAAGTGATTTGTCTAAGGCCATTGGTTAACACAGAGTGAGGACCTGAGCCCAGGTTATTTGAATTGGAGGAATTGAAACCCAGTTTTTATGATAACAAGTCCAGGGCAAATTATATTATAATATGCTACTTCTAGTTGGTGACAGTGAATTCTTTAATTATTTGTAATTAAATTAAATATACTTCGTAATTTGTAAGCAAACATCAGGGCAAGAACTAAAATTTCTCATAAGTTTTAAACATATTAGGGGAAAAAAGATGTTTGTTTCTCTATTATAGAAAGAAACCTAGTACTAAATTCCTAAATAAAGCATTTTCATCTATCATTACTCATGTTCCCATGAAATATATGATGTGTTCTAAATTTCCATTTATTAGATTTAAAGATCATGAATTTGGTATAAATCTGAAGCAAAATAAGAAAATTAGATTAAGAAATTTCTGACAGGGAGAAAATGACTTCCAGAGAGTGGGTTGAGTACTTTGGGAGACACATAATCTCTCTAAATAACATCACCAGGAACACTAGAATAGATATTTACTAAATAATAATACCCAGAATTTTATAGCACTCCAAATTTTCTTCTTAGGGCTTTAATATTTACCATTTTATTTCTGTCCTCAAACCATCTCAGTGAGCTATACTGAATTAGTTTTATTTATAGAGTTAGAACCAGGCAGAGGACTGAGGCAAAGAGGGGCCAAATGATTTGCCCCTACTCTACAAAATGAGTTAATGGTAGATATAAAAGACGAATAAGTGTTTCTTGCTTCTTATCCTTCTTCCTTTTTCTCTTAAAAAAAAAAACCTTCTTAACTTAGGGTATATGAACCTGTCACTTTTTTTTTAAATAGTATGAAAACTATTCCAAAATAGTTTCCTTTGGAATCCTATGTATTTCATTGTATGCGTTGAAAAATGTTCTTCTGAGAAAGGGTCCATAGGTTTCACCAGAATGCCAAAGGGGTCCAAAAAAGGGTAAGAAGGCACTCTTTATAGTTTTGCTTTTTTTTTTTTGTTTTTTAATAAATGAGTGTTAGATTTTATCAAATGCTTTTTTTTCCCTGTCTATTAATATAATGTTTGGTGTTTGTAGTGGGGCATTGATTGGGGTCCCTTGATCAATTCCTCACTATATGTTTTTATTATGATTATGTGATTACGTTCACTGTTTTTCAAATATTGAACCAGCCTTGCCATTTTATTATGGTCATTAGTGATCTGGCCAAATGTGAAACTAATTTAACACCTAGGTATTTTATTTGGGGGGGGGTGAGTTATTTCCATGTTTTCCATAAACTTCTAAAATAAATCAAACTTCACTAACATTGCTAGCTTAAAACAAAAGACAGAGAGTTTGACAATAGGAGCCAGCACCTGAGCTCTACAAGCTTCAAGTGATCTACATTTCATCTGATATGTAGAATGAAACTATAGTTCTGGCAATAATTGCATTTTTAGGAAACTGATTCTTATTTTACCTGTATAGAATTAAAAAAGGAAATATCAGAATATGTTTGAAGTCTCATGGACTGGTTGCTTTTTCTTCTCTCTCCTCTGAGACCTAGGAAAAGGATTATCCTTGTCTTACCTGAGCAGCTTATTTTTAGGCTCATCAAAAACTTCAAGTATTTCTTCTATTTCCTCATTTCCACTTTGTATTAGAATTCTTGAAACTAAGGGTCAAGCTTCTTCTATTTTAACATTTTTAGCTTTCTTAGCTAAATTACAAAGTGCAATTATGGTGAGTCTATTGTAGGTGTGTGTCCCATTCAAAGTCCCAAGGAGAAATATTCTCAAAGATATAGGTTAGAGATGGGAAGGACTTCAAAGATCATAGGATCATAGGCCAAATAAATTTAGATGTTGAAAGGGCCTCAGAAATCTTTGATTTCAATCCTTGCACTTCACAACTGAGGAAAACAAAGCCCATCGAGGCAAAATCTCCTGCACCAAACTACACAAGTATGTGTGAGATCTTAAACACTCAAACGCAGGTCTTCTAATTCTAAGCCCAATGCTCTTAGAGTTCATTAGAAGCTGTCTGGCTAATACTTTTTTTTTTTATTTAGAAACCTTATCTCTTCCATTAAATTAAAATATATTAAGGATATGTTTAGCTATCTCTAAGCACAACAACAACAATAATAGCTAAAATTTATACAGTATTTTCTGTGTCACAGGCACTGTACTAAGCACTTTACAATTATTATCTCACTTGATTCCCACAACAATTCTGGGAAATTGTGTGGCTTGTCCCTCATTCTTGAAGAAGACCATGACATTCTGGGAAATAAGTGCTAATAGTATCCCTAATTTACAGATGAGGAACCCAAAGCAGAGATTAAGTGACTTGCCCAGGATCACACAGATAGTAAGTGACTGAGGCTAGATTTGAACTCAGGTCTTCCCGACTCCAGGCCCAGTGCTATCTCCAATGTGTCACCGTATTGCCTGATGATTGGGAAATGCAACTTTCAAATACAGAAGATAGAATACATCCTTAAAATAGATTTTTTTTAAATAGGAGTTTCTCACATAATAGATGAAGCAACACAGTACTCTAGGAGGCAGCAAATGACAAAGTCTCTTATCCTATTTTTTAGAAAAAAAAAACAGAGGAATGATGGTGACATGATAGCATAATTAATTGGATTAAGAATTATTTGAAAACCTGGATTCAAAAAGTAGCATTAATGATTCAAAGTTAACTTGGAAGGAAGTCTCCAGTGAAGTATTTGGCCCAGTGCTACTTAGCACTCTATCAGTAACTTGGATAAAGGCATAGAATCTATGCCATAGATGATGTCATGCTTATCAGATATTCCGAAAGCACAAAGTTAGGGGGAACACTAGCACGATGGACAGAAGTCAGAATTTGAAAAGAACCTGATAGATATACCAAGTAAGGTAAAATTTAAGACGGGTAAATTTAACATTGTACATTTGGATTTGAAAGATCAATTTCATAAGTTTAAATTGAGGGATGCATGGTTAGACAGCAGTTCAATCTGAAAATGATCTAGGAGTTTTTAGTGGACTGCAAGCCTAATATGAATCAACAGCATGTCAGCCCACAACAAAACTACTACAGTACAATATTTCACTGCCTTAAGAGAGGCATGATATACAAGGGCAAGGAGGCAATAGAACTGTTAGGTGTTGCGCTGGTCAGAACACATCTGGAGTGTTATGTCCAGTTTTAGGTGCCACATTTTAGGAAGGACATTGATAAGCTATAGAATTTCTTGAGGATTACAGCCAGTATGACAAAGGGTCTCAAGTTCATACCATATGAGGATCTTTTGAGGTAACTGGTGATGTATATTCTGGTAAAGAGGAGACTTAAAAGGAATATGATAGTTTTCTTCAAATATTTGAAGGGCTTTCACATGGGCGAGGAAATGAACTTACTCTGTTTGGCAGCAGCATAATAAAGGCATATTAAGAAGAAATGGAATGAAGTTTCACAGACAGATTGTAAGTTTGAATTAAAAAACACACTCTAGCTCCATAATAATGAGCAATTCACTTAACCTTTTAGAAACTTAATCTCTTCATGTATAAAATGGTAACAATAATATTTGTACTACCCTACAGGGTTATTGTAAGAAAAATTATTTTCAAAACCTTAAAGTTATTCTTAGATTATCTATAATTCCTTTGAGCTCTATAATCTAACTACTTTAGTCAAAATTTAAATATATTCCTTCCCTGTTGGGAAGCTATAAATACATAATTTAAGTAAATATTATTTGGCAAATAGTTCACATTTAGTAATAATAATTTATATGTATGTAGCACCACAGTCATTTGCACATAGATGTGATACTGTCAATATGGCCTTGATTCCTCAGATCCCAGATTAAAAAACACCTAAGGTGATAACATCTTTATGCTTATAAAGTCCATATAAGTTCTAAAAATCCTTATCTCAATATCCATTCTCACTGAAAAGTCTCAGCTTCCGGAACAAAGCTACATTCCCACCCCTACCACCCGACCCCCTGACTCTGAGTTCTAAGTATACCCCTTGAGGATTCAGGAATAATTCTCTAATGCCATCAGCTCAAGCCCTCTCCAGTTTACTACTCCAACTCCTCAAGATTGTCAGTTTATGACAATTTAGCCAGTCAGCTTTAAGTAGTTTCCAGAAAGAGATATTTGCTAAGATGATACTGTGAGACTGTACAAAATACCGATACTGTAAGATATACAAAACATCCCTCCTAAAGACTGTGATACATAGTTCTACAAGTACATACAGAGTCTAGAGGAAAGTGGGTTCAGACTTAAGGATACATGTGGCAAATGGATTAACTTATAACTTCTGGTTGCTGCCAATCCTTTTCTTTTATTCATCAGGGGATGAAGAAGTTCACCTCAAGCATAGTGAATCTGTCTTGTCTGTCCTTGGCTCCTAATACAGATTGTATTACCAGTCTTTTCTATCCTGGGGCAGCAATGCTGATGGGAAGATGTGAAATCCGAAATCTTTCATAATTGTATAAACTCACAAGTTCTCATTCCAGCTGAAGTTGGGGTAGGGGGGAGTTGTCAAAGGAAACCTGGCCAAGGCCAAAGTCAAATCTTCTTCTCTCCTCCTGAATCCTTTTTGTATTCCCTACACTATCCTTCCCCACCCCCACCTTTCACTCTGCTTGCTATAGCTTTCAATCCATTTAACTCTCTAATTTTTACCTTTTGTCACTCTTCTATTAATTAATCTTGCTTTTACTACAATTATTGAAAAATAATCAAACAGGTATAGCTTTAAAAAGAACAATAGATTTTAAATCGCATATTTCCTCAAAGAGCCTCTTTTTCCTTTTTTTTCTTTTTTTTGAAACTGTGTTTCCCTATCTCTCCCAGCATGGAACTGCAGCACCCACTCACTAGCCCAATCCCAATACTGATGGGTACAGAAGCCTTAGACTGCTCTGCATTTCTGACCTGGCCTAGTTTTCCCGCCCTTAGGCAGTCTGCTGATCCTCTGCTCCCAAAGGCTCACTATGTTGGTGCCTGGTTTAGTACAGATAATTAACTAAACTAAGACCTAGTAAGTTCAAGCAATCCACCAGCCTCGGCCCCTCTGGTATCAGGAATTACATGTATGTTGAATGACTAAGTCATTTTGACTTAAATAAATAAATAAATACCCAAATTGACTACAAAGGAGATATGAAGGAAGACCCTATCTGTATCCAAAGAAAGAACTGGTAACTAGAAGTATAAACACACACACACATATATGTATACATATTTGTATCTAAGGATAGCCATTTCAAGAGGGAGGGGGAAGGAAGGAAAGGAAAAAAAAGAAATTTACATGATAGCTTTAATATATTTAAAGAGAATTCTATGTAATTGATTTCGATTTCATGTGCAATCATCTTTTTTTATTATACTGTGTTATGTGAATGACTGTTTTATTCCATAAATTAAAAATAAAACAAATATATATACATATATAGATATAGATATAGATATAGATATAGATATAGATATAGATATAGATATAGATATAGATATAGATATAGATATAGATGATATAGATATAGATATAGATATAGATATAGATGATATAGATATAGATGATATAGATATAGATATAGATATAGATATAGATATAGATATAGATATAGATATAGATATAGATATAGATATAGATATAGATATAGATTAACATCAAGTATGTGCTACCATGCCCAGCTCAAAGAATCTTTTAGTTAATACTAAGCCTTTTTTAAAAACCTGGGCATGTTGATAAATAGGGGATTAAAGCAAATTTGTTGTAATATAATGAATGAAATTAACTTAAGAGGCCACAGCTGTGTAATACTTGTTTGTGTGAATATCTTATTGCCCCTAATAGACTGCATGCTCCATAAGACAGGAAGAATGTCTCATATATCTTTGTTCTTGTCCATAGTCCCCCAACCTCCGGCACTTACTATGTCAATAGATGTGATATTTGCTGGAATTAAATAATATAAAATTAAACATTCTCCTTTCAACGGATTAGATGATATTTCTTTTGCATAGATTAACTGGAATACTAGTCTTACTGCAGTGTTTCTCCCAGAGTAGGAACATTATTCTTAATTTGAATCTTAAAATAGCTACAAATACACATATAAGTGTGCACAAATAATTTACATATCTGTATTTTGTTTTTGTTGTATAGACCGGGCATTTGGAAAGATCTAAAGACCATGGGTTCTGTGTCTCTCTTCATATTCTTCGTCACATTACTGGTTCTGGGGAGACAGGTAAGAAGTCCATTATTTCTACTAATGAGGATTTTTGTATGTACCTATGTCTGTATTTTCATGCAACCACATCTAGGAACTACACATGTTAAAGAGAGAGGACACAGCCCATAATGACAAGGTCCAGAAATACAACCTGAAGGGTAAATGCTCTCAACTCTTTGACAAGAACAGGCAAATGTTTTGAACACAGAAAGTCAACCTTTTTCTTCTAGTACCATTTAAGCCTTAAAATACCAAGCCATTTTCTGAACCTATTTTAAAAAAGGCTATAATGTTTAAAAGAATATGAAACTAGGGGGGAAAATGTCCTTTGGAACATAGGATTTTTCCTTTTATTTTGGAATATATATTTTGAGGTGTATTTCTGTCACTGTCTTCCTTGTTTTTAATGTGGATGTTTGGAAGCATGATGTTTAGCCCAAGGAAAAGAAAATTTAGAAGGGGATATGATCACAGTCGTTAGTATTTGATTGGTTGACATGTAGAAGAGAGATTAAACTTAGTCTCAAGAAAGCAAAACTAGAAGCAATGGATAAAGATAAAAAGAAACAATGTTGCACTTCATGCAAAGAAAACCTTGCTAATAGTTTAAATCCCTACAATGTGGAATGGGGCACTTCAGAGAATTGTAGGTTCCCCCTCACTAGAAGTTTTTGTTGTTGTTGTTGTTTTGAGGCAATCAAGGTTAGGAGACTTGCTCAGGGTCACACAGCTAGTAAGTATCTGAGACTGAATTTGAACTTAGGTCTTCCTGACTCCAGGGCTGGTGGTCTATTTACTATGCCACCTAATTGCCCCTCACTAGAGGTTTTCAAGGAGAAGATGTTACTGAGGAGATGCTTGGTCAGGCAAAAGTTAGACCACTTTGACTCTAGAGTTCCTTTCAATGATGAAATTCTGTAATTCCCTGCAAAAGTTTCCTGTTCCAATACCTTATTGTGATGAGAAAATGACCCTGAATTGTGGAAGGCTATTCTGGAGAGGTGCTATCTCTGGCAGGTCCTACCAAGTCAAAAGCCTACAAGTAGAGGCTTAGTGCATCATACCGGCTGTCTACATTCATACTAATGGAGGAGAAGTCCATTACCATGGTGTTGACCATCAGGCAATGAAAGACATTGGCCACAACAACTCACGGAAAACAGTAGCTTACCTCTTTTTAAACTGACTGACCATGAACAAGGATCTAAAATCATTGGTCCTTGGTATATTAAGATAATGAGTTTCCATAAGTCTCAAATAACTGAATCAAATAACTGGTCTGTGTATTAGAGAAGTTAATAAAAATAACCATGTTATATAATAGTTAGGTACTTGTCTATAGTTTGGTGTAACATTCATTCACATGGTCCCTAAGGAATAAGCTAAGATAACAAGTTACCTAAAAGAATTAACACCTGCAAAAAAAATTCCTGGTACCTATTTTTCTTCTGACGCCTATTTAAAGAAGTTCTAGTAGAATCTTCTGACGATCTAACCCAGGAACTTTTTTTAATAGTTTTGTTTTCTTTTTTAAATAGCAAGGGGCAGTAGAAAGCCCTTAATTCACAGTTAGAGAAGCTGAATTCAGTTCCTGGCCCTGATAATTTATTTTCTGAGTGACCTTAAGCAACTCTTAGCCTCAGTTTCCTCATATGCAAAATAGTAATGAGAATATTTCACTAACTACCTCATAGGCTTATTGTGAACAAAGTGCTTTGTAAATGTAAAAGCTCTATAGAAAAGTCATTGTTATTATAATCATTATTATTTTCCTAGATACCAGATGTTCCAATATACTTCATGCATTCAAAAAGTAACGTCAGTTTGTTTGAACACAATTGTTTCTAGAAGCCTGTGGTAATATTCTTGCCTCTACTTCTTTCTTGAATCCAAATATGTTGCAAACTCTTGCATTTTTCCAAATAAAATTTTCAAATGAAATTAGTATTCATGACAGCAAAATGATCATCTTTTCTAATTTGTTTTTTAATTTGCACAGTGCAGTTATTTGGGAACTTAATTATTTATTTATTGCTTGTCTATAGTGCATTTTGCCTTAAGGTTGATCTTTTCCATCACCATTCTTCTTGAAACATAAAGGGGAAAAAACATGCATTTACTGCCTGAGTAAATTAATATTTTTTCTTATTACTTTAAGGAAAATAAAATTTTAAATTGGAATTTAAAATATGTACTGTACACAAAACAATTGAATTGTCATTTATGCAGATATATCAGTTTAAAAAAATGTTTACAAATTCACTGCAATGTTAGGTGACCAAAAATAGAGGTTGACAGCTTTTTTCATTGTTGTTTAAGTTAGAGGTTCAAAGAAGGGAAATCCCTTTTAATGGTCTCTCCCTTCTTCTAGTATCATGCCATGTTCCTAATTTTCTTCTTTACTGCTTGTAGTTAAAAGAAAGCATGTTTTCTAATTAATTTCCCTTCAAAGTCTAAGTCCAGTGAACCTATGATCTTCCCCCTTGCAATACAACTTCATAAATATTATCTCCATTCCCTCAGATGTGAAGCCCTCACTTTATATTCATGGACATTTTTCTTCCTTGGATGGGTGTGCACTGGGGACAAATAAAACATATGAGAAGCCGAGTGATTTGGAAAGAGTTTAAAGTCACTTTGTGCAGATGCTTATAGGATCCTCTAATCTTATTATCAGTTGTATAAGCATTCAAAAGATAATTCCAACTGGCACTAAAATTTATATTTCACAAAACACATAGCCTTTTACAAAACAAACAAAAAACAACAACAAAAAAAATAAGAATAATAAATCTGTAGCATAGAAGCATAATGTTTATCTACATAGCAACCTTTAAGAAAAATTCCAGAGATCATTTATCATGTACTGTTAATAAGCTCTGTACAAACATACTGTACATGTCACGTTGAATGGTCACTTGAAAAGATTTCATTTTCTATGTAAAGTGAATTGTTTGATTATTATTCTCATTTTGAGTATATGCCTGTGTCTGCCTAATGCCCAAACAGCCCTTTGTTTAGTAGGTGTTTGGCTGAATTGTCCCCTTGTTTAATAACCTGGCTTATTTTTCAGGGCAGTGTTCTGTTCTAATAAATGCATGGCTTGATTCCTGTGGGAAATAGTCTATATTTTCAGGAGGGGAAGGTGGTGAAGAAGATTTCAAGAATGTCTGGGTTTCAAAATAAATAGATTTTTGAATCTACATTTGAAATCTCATAAAATTCCCCAGTGCATGATGTGAATCTAAACTATACCAGATAAAGAATACATCTGAGTCTACTTACGTAGGCCAAAATAGACATAATTTATACCTTGCAACCTTTCTCCTCACTTTGAAAATAAGGGATCCTTATTTATTTCTCATTTGTGGGCTAGACCCTTTGTTTGTTATTTGTTCTTTTTTGAAATGTCACTGATATCTTTAGTCAACCCAGAAAAAGATTGTTGTATGCTCATCTGTATTTGTTTGTCAAATAAATGTCTATTGTGCCAAAAGTGCACCCTCTCTATTAGGCTGCTCTGTTCAAAATAGACTCAATTAATCATCATTAGTTCCATTAATTTGCATCAAACATGATAAATCACAATGCTAAAAGCAATAAGTATATAGGTGGGAAATGGAACATCTACACAGATTTATTTAAATGATAAGCTTTATTGAAATTACTTTTGAATTTGTCCAGAGTCTGCCTCTTTAATTCTAATGACAATACACTTTATTTGTCAAAGGGAAAAAATAGCTATGTAGGAAATGTTTTCTTTCCTCTATATCTGCATAGTAAAGTTAGTTTTCCCTGCTAGATGCAATGTAATTTTAATTGAATGTATATCAAAATAAATTTTCATGTAACTATGACCATACTTTCTCATTACTGTTCAAATCTACCTAAAAAAAAATCAGTTTTGTGTTGCTTATTCAGCTGAATGATGTTTACAGGAGGAGAAAAGTGATTGTGATTTTTCTAACTTTAAATGCAATCCAAAAATTAACATTATTGGTAAATGATGGCCAACAACTGCAGTGCCACATATATGTTCAAACTTCTATAAAAGCTGTTTCCTTTGAGTAACTTAGCCTTTTCTCAGTGCCATATTGAAGGCATCTTTTTTTTCATAACAGAAAGCTTTTTTAGGGAGGGTGGACTATACTATGTTTTATCTCTTTAAAGCCTATTTGCTCTAGCAGGACAAGATGCCTATTGTTTCTTTACTTCTGTGTCCTCTTGTAACAGAATGAATATTACTGTAGGTTAGACTTCCTATGGAAGAACAAGTTCAATAAAGAGCGTGAGGAAATTGAAACCATGGAGAACCTGAATCGTGTCCTGCTGGAAAACGTACTCCCTGCCCATGTGGCCGAACACTTCTTGGCCAGAAACTTGAAAAATGAGGTCAGATGCTTTCTGCTAATCAAAAATGATCATGTGTGGGGTCACGGTCAGACTTTCCAGTGGAAAATGGAAATGGGGTCCAGGGGGAAGGAGAAATACTGGACGATCAAAAGTCTTTATTTCCATTCTATGGTGTAATCGAAAGAAATATAGACTTAGAGTCAGGGGATCTGGGTTCAAACTCTAGCTCTGACATTTACTGGTGGTATAACTTTGAGAAAGTCACCTAACCTATCTGAGCCTCAGCTTCTTCAACAGTAAAATGTCCTATTTGCATTACCTTTCTCGCAGGAGTGCTAAAAGCAAATCTTGTTAGAAACCTTAAGGCACTAAAGAAATAGGACTTGGGAATATAGCTGGATTCTAGGAACGTAAGTCTAGAAGGCATCATGAAATATCATCCAGTTCGGTCTTCTACCAACTTGAATCAGGAACCCAAGTAGAGTCCTACTTTTAATTTAATGTCTCTAAGCATCTGGATAAAAGTGAAAAAACAATCTAGTCAAACATCCAGATCTTTATTCCAGCTGATTCCAAAGATCTAGATGTTTGGCTGCATGTTTCTGCTGTCAGTTGGATGTTGTGCTGTAAAGATATCCTTTAAGAATAATTCAGCACTTTCCTCTGAGGTTTTTACACATGCCTGAAACATCATTGAGATATGTTTCATGTTTTTTTTCTTCAAGCAGTGCACTTAATTTTTCTTCCTTCATCTCATCCCATCCACAGTAATTGTCTCAGATTAACCAGAAAAATGGGATATTTACCCCTTCCTTCACCTAATTCAGCTTACTAACTTCATTTCTGTTGGTACTGCTGTTACTAAGATTGGGACCTGACTAGCATAAAGACGTGACTAGTATAAAGTCTTTGCTCTTTTGCTAACAAAAATCAACCAAAGTCTATCTATACGACATGGAGATTACCCTGGTAATACTATGTAACTGTGAATCACTCAATCAACAAGCACTGATTGAGCACCCATTATATATCAGGTGCTGTGCAAGGCACTGGAGATACAAAAGGAAATTAGCCTCTATCCAAATCAAAATTTCAAATGATCCTAAAGATACTGTAAAAATACATGTAGGCATGAGTAGTTTACTGTTTATTACTAATGATTATTTGTGTGTAAAAAGAAATGGTATAAAAGACATGAAGGACATAGATGGACACAGAAAAGGAAATGCATGGGTCTGTCTGGACAGAGGGACCAATTATATTCCATACACATTTATTGTTTGTTGTGGGCCATATACCATGTTAACCACTAGGGCTACCAAGACACACATACACTCCTTCTCTCTCTCTTTCTCCCCCCCCCCCCACCATATGTATTTATGTATACACACATATACATACATATGGGAGTGGGTAGAGAAAGAGAGACAGAGAGGGAAAGAGAGAGAGACACAGACAAACAGACAGCAGACAGATAGAGACAGAGACAGAGACAGAGACAGAGACAGAGAGTTCCCTGCCCAAGGAACTTGAGTCTGTGTACTTTAAGTGGTGTTTCTCTAAAGAATTCCAAGAATCCAAAAATTTCCAGAGACTCTTTTTTTTGTAAACCTTAATAGAAGGAAAGTGAGCTAACTATTACATATACATCAGATATTTCAGTACCAAATTTATACAGAAAACAAGTGTTCCACTTGTCAAGGAAATTCAACCTCTTCTTAGTAAAAGCATAGGAATTCCTAAAGGTTATCCAACTACTTAAATTAGGAATTATTCACTCTAAATAGTCACAGAAAGTCTCCAATTTTGCCATTAAATTATTAGGAATAGAAGGCTGGCCCTTAAAAAAAAATAGTAGGACAAGACAGGTCTTGGAGATCAGAGGCAGTGTTATGTAGTGGGCAGAGCACTGGATTTGGCTCCCAAATTCCACCTCTGCTATTTACTGCCTTTACGACTTTGGGCAAGACACTTTCCTGTAAGCCTCAATTCTACAAAATGAGAAATTATAACTTGATATTCTCTAAGGTACCTTCCAGCTTTATGTCCTGTGAATGTAGAACAAGAGATTACTATCCCCTCTTCTCATTACTTAATGCTCACTTACATGTTATATAAAATCTAAGGTTCATACCTGTCTAGTGTGTTTTCTGTTACCTAATAACAGTAATGTGTGCATATAAAAATTTAAAAACTATTTAATAGTAATGATCATAAGGTCAAACTCTATGTCCATCATAGAGTAGGCTGCCCGGTCTCAGATGTATAGAAAGTAAAACCTAGGGGAAAATAATATATCCAACACTTCTTACCTAGGCTCAATTGCTCAAGGATGTACATATACTCTTACAGAAATGTGCTATTGGCTTAACTGGTTTTTCATAAAAATGACATTTTGAAAGATAATAATGATAGCTGACATTTTTATAGCACTTTAAAGTTTGTAAAGTGATTTCTTTATACTACTTTATTTGATCCTTACAACAACCCTACTGAGTAAGTAATATTATCAGCCCCATTTTACAGATGAAGAAATTGAGGATGAAAGAGGTTAAGTGAATTGTCCAGGACCACATAGCTAATAAGAGTCTGAGGAAGGATTTGGACTCAGGTCTTCCTGACTGCAAGTCCAGTGCCCTATCAAGATGCCTTCATAAAGCTATTTTTTTTCCAAATAGTTTGTTGAAGGATATGAAAGTTTCAGAGAAAACAAACTCCATTTGGGTGATTTTCCATCTTTTCAGGTAAACACTTTTCTACCCCTTGTTAAAAATACCCACACCCCTTCCTTATATCTTCAGCCAGTGACTCCCACCACCTCATGAGCTTCCTTTGTACTCTTGTCCTGATCAGGAATTTCATCCCAAACCACAGTCAAGAGCAAATGAGCAGCCTCTTTGTGATGTTCCTTTGTAGGAAACGAATGAAATTAAGCTGATAACTGAGTAGGATGAGTTGTCTCCCAGGAGTACTTGAGAAAAGGAAGAAAAGGTTTTTTTAGTTCAGAAGTTTTCCCTCCCATGTACATAACTCTGTCATGTGATCCCTCATCCACACTCTAGTTACACTTATCCAGTGGAATATTTTAAAAATGAACTGATCCTTGATACACTATTTTGAGGCTCAATTTCTCCACCAACACACAAGAAAAATCAACAGTTTTGAGAGCTGCCATGGCTAAAACATTTCCACTGGAAAATGATGGCAAACAAAAATGTAAAACCACCTTTTAAACATAATCTCTACAATAATTTTCCTTTGCTGATAGTTTTTTACATTCAACAAAAACCTCAGCTATAGCTCACCATGGGAAACCATTCTAATCTCTTTTTTCTGGAATTCTTCTGGCATCCAAATATATTCCTGAATATACATAGCAAGTAATATTGCAAAAAGATTAACAGTTGCTCAAGTGACAGGTTTTTTTTTTAATACTGACTAAGAATAGCAGTTTTAAGTTTTATGATGGCTATATCTGGAATAGGCTCTATGGTTCCATCAAAATGGCCTTGCGGGTTCTCACACATGGCACTCTAGCTCTTGTCCCCAAGGCCTCAAAATCACTCTCTTCTTATTTCTTTCTCCTAGAATCTCTTGTTTCATTCAAAATTTAGCTGAAGTATTATATTATGCATAAAGCCTCTCCTGATCTCCATAGCAGCTATACCTTCCTCCATTAAATTACATTATAATTACTTTGTATATATTTAATATTTCCTAACAGAGCATAAGCTCCTTAAGGGCAAAAACTATTTTATTTCTCTCTTTTTTTTCCCCTCAGTCTAGCGTAGTGGTTGAGAGTTTGCAGTCATTTAATAAATGTTTATTGATTGATCGATCTTAAGAGAAGGTGGCTTTAGTTAAAAGTGCAATGACATAATTAATCATGAACTTCACTATGTATAACTAAAGACACTGCTTGAAATCAGACATTTGGAATAGCAAGGACTGAAGAATAGACTGGGATATTAAATCAACAAGATACCACTTCATAATGATTTTTCCAGTCTTTGTTTCTTAGGCCACTGGGTTCCATCTTAAAGGCTCCACCAAAGCATTCATCACAGCTGTATTTTCTCTTTATTCTGTTAATTTATAATATAAAATAGGCATAGCCTTGGCAGCTACATGAGCAACTCCTGTAAAATGTAGAACCCTTAGAGCCTGGAAAAAGCTCAGAGATCTAATCCTCTGTTTGTAACCTCTATTCATCATATTTGACCAGGAAACATATCCAGGGTATTTTGAGAGACCTCCAAAGAGTTATTGTGCACATTTAAATAGAATGGCTCTACTGTAGCTAAACCCTTAAAACTTGATGGAGTAGTGGACTTCTATCAGGAAAGTGGGAAACTTAATGGTCACTGCCAGTAGTCAAGGTTTTTATTTCCTGTAAAAGCCAAGAGATCATATGTCTTGTTTGTGGAATAGAGAGGAAGCTAATGTCACTGGATTAAAGTGTATATAACAAAGAGTAAAATATAAGAAGATTGGAAAGGTAGGAGGGGGTTAGGTTGTAAAGGACTTTGAAAGTCAAACAGAGTTTGTATTTGTATTTGATCCTGGAGTTTATTGTGTAGGAGGTGACATGGATCTGAGTTTTAGTAAAATCATTTTAGTGGCTGAATGAAGATTGATTGAAGTGGAGAGAGACCTGGAGCAGGCAGATCCACCATCGGACTATTACAGTAGACCATGCAAGCAGTGATAAGGGACTACACTTTTCTTATCCTAGACACTTTTTAATCCCATAAGACCAACCAATATCTAACATGTTGAAGGCCTCCGCATTCTTTTAGTATCACTGAAGTTCCATATGTTCCACTCAGCTTGTGAAAATTAGAGGCACCAGGTGAACAATGTGACAGAGTCAAGTCCAGAAATACATGTCCTTATCACAAATTATCATTGTTAACCTGTTGTATCCTTCATAATTTTACCATGTATTTTCTCAGATTCTATCCACCATAAACTATTATTCAATTATTGGTTCAGTTTATTGTTCATCTACATTGCCTATTAAAAAGTATACATATTTG